CGCTGACGCAACAGGACTAACAGTAAAAAGGAACATGAAAAACGAACGCCTTAGGCCTAACAGTAAAATAGAAAGAAGAAAATTAACGCCTTAGGATTAACAGTACAAAAGAAACAAGAAAACGAATGACTTAAGACTAACAATAAAAAAAATACGAAAAACGAAGCCTTAGGACTAACAGTAACAAGGAACATGAAAAACGAACGCCTTAGGCCTAACAGTAAAAAGGAACAAGGAAAACAAACGCCTTAAGACTAACAGTAAAAAGAAATACGAAAAACGAACGCCTTAGGACTAACAGTAACAAGGAACATGAAAAACGAACGCCTTAGTCCTAACTGTAAAAAGAAATACGAAAAAAATTACGCCTTAGAACTAACAGAAAAAGAAACAAGAAGAAAATACGCGTTAGGACTAATAGTGAAAAGAAATACGAAAAATTACGCCTTATAACTAACAAAAAAAAGAAACAAATATTCCTGAATAATAACAGTTAAAAGAAACAAAAGAAAGTCTTAGGACTAGCAATAAGAAGAAACAAGATAATACTCCTTAGGACTACAGTAAAAAAGTACGCCTTAGGACTAACAGTAAGAAGAAACAAGAAAAACAAACGTCCTAGGCCTAACAGAAAACAGAAACAAGAAAAATGAATGTCTTAGACCTAACAGTAAAAAAAAAAAACAACAAGAAAAATTAACGCCTTAGATCTAACAGTAAAAAACCAAACAAAAACAACGAATGCCTTAGGCCTAACGGTAAAAAAGAAATAAGAAAAACGAACGCCTTAAGACGAACAGTAAAAAGAAACACGAAAAACGAACGCCTTAGGACTGACAATAAAAAAGAAACAAGAAAAACGAACGCCTTAGGGTTAACAGTAAAAAAGAAACAAAAAAAACGAAAGCCTTAGGACTAACAGTAAAACGAAAGAAGAAAAACGAAGTCTTAGGCCTAATAGTAAAAAGGAACAAGAAAAACAAACGCCTTAGGCTTAACAGTAAAAAAAATAAACAAGAAAAACGAACGCCTTAAGACTAACAGCAAAAAACAAGAAAAACGAATGCCTTAGACCTAACAGTAAAAAAGAAATAAGAAAAATGAACGCCTTAGGATTAACAGTAAAAAAGAAACACGAAAAAATTACGCCTTAGAACTAACAGAAAAAAGAAACAAATATACCTGAAGAATAACAGTAAAAAGAAACAAAAGAAAGTCTTAGGACTAGCAATAAGAAGAAACAAGATAAAACTCCTTAGGACTACAGTAAAAAAAAGTACGCCTTAGGACTAACAATAAGAGAAACAAGAAAAAACAAATGTCCTAGGCCTAACAGTAAAAAAAAAAACAAGAAAAATTAACGCCTTAGGACTAACAGTAAAAGAAACAACAAGAAAAACGAATGCCTTAGGCCTAACGGTAAAAAAGAAACAAGAAAAACAGACGCTTTAGGGCTAACAGTAAAAAGAAAGAAGAAAACGAATGCTTTAGGCCTAACAATAAAAAAGAAATAAGAAAAATGAACGCCTTAGGATTAACAGTAAAAAAGAAACAAAAAAACGAATGCGTTAGGTCTAACAGTAAAAAAAGAAACAAGAAAAACGAAAGCTTTAGGACTGACAGTAAAACGAAAGAAGAAAAACGAAGTCTTAGAACTAACAGCAAGAAGAAACAAGAAAAACAAACTGAAGACCTCCTATTGTTAACTCGGACGTTCCTTGGGCGGATTCATCGTCGTTGAAGATGAAACACTGATACATCCCACTGTCAGTTCTACGAACTGACGAAATCTTCATCACTGTCTTAGACAAATAGGAAATTCTTGGGTCTATCACCAGAGGTCGCTTATCTTTTAACCACGTAATGGCGGTGATGGGAAAGCCGTCAATGGTGCAGTTGAGAACAGCTATACCACCTACCTCGACTATTTGGACTTTAGGTATAACAATGACCTTTAATCGACCTATCAGAAAATGCAAACATATACTAATTATGGAAAAACAAAATCACTTATTCAATAATGCTTGTTACTGGATGATTCATTCCTTATTATTTAAATTAATTAAAAGTGGCACATAAATTACGTTCGTAGAAACTTTTCTAAGCCATCTCATACCGAAGTTGATATGTTAGATACAACTGTACATAATTAGCATCTGAGTTTTTCAAATGTTACTGAACATGTAAATGTTAGTTAATTAGATGTCACTACATTGTTTTCTGAATAATTTCATTTAATAACGTGTTTTTCAATTCTGACGCGCATGCTCCATTTTTAGGATAAATTATTTTCAAGTTTTGATAAGTAGAAACAGTTTCAGTTTAGTTTACAACTGTGACTAGTCAAACAACCAAGATAACATTAATCGGGGTTATTTTAACTGGATTAATTATGAATTTCATAGGTTGCTAGACGCAGTATAAAATTATTATGTATTTCGGGTAATTACTTACTTGCTTGAGTGTTATGGATAACTATTGACTAACTTAGGTGTTAGGGATAATTACAGGTTAACGTGGATGTTCAAAGTAATTACAGACTAGATTTGGTGTTCAGTCTAATTACAGACTAGATTTGGTGTTCAGTCTAATTACAGACTAGATTTGGTGTTGAGCGTAA